ATTAAGTTAATTTTTATAATCAGTTATTCAAATTGTCAAACTAATTAATCAGATAATGAAGTCAGAAGTTTATCACAAGACAGGGGTTTTCTGTTTAGCCTGTAAAAGAAGACTGAGTAGGAGATGATTCCCTTTAAACTTTTACCCGAAGTAAAGATACACCCACAGAAATGGCCTTTAACTGGTGGAGAGCAATGTTTTCTGTAGGTGGTGTTCCTCAACAAGGAAGGATCTCCCAATTTAGGTGCTAAATTCAACACATAATTCATGCTAAAGAAGTAAAGACTGAAGTGTTTTTTTTCTTATGACTTGTTCAGTGGTTTGTCTTTAAAATCTGCTGAGATTTCAACTTCTGCGAGTTCTTCTCCCCTCTGGCTTACCAGAGAATCAGAGCATTGCAAAAACACACACACACAGAGTTAACTTTAAAACATTTTCAGTAATCACAAATATTTAGTTACTAAAAAGACCCAAGGTGGACAATTTTCTTGCTTAAGATTAATGTTTCTTACTCTGTTTGGGTTTGGTTTGGGTTTTTTAAAAATATAAAATAGAGACAGCTTTTGAAGACAGAAGCCTGTGTCCTGAAAACAGTTCATATAATTAAAATTAAAAAATGAAGAATTAGCATGAAATTCAGTGTCAAATCTCACCTATTACATAAACATGAGAATATAGCTTGAATTCCCTAAACATCTTTTTTCCTTGATAGCAGCTACTCTAAAATCCCTGTGCTTCTAGATGCTGTGGAAGATCTCCCCACCTCAACTGGCCCAGCAATATGTGCCTCCTAGACCCGATCCTCCCCAAAACAGAATGAAGTAGGTTTTTCCCCTGCTTACTTTCCTGTCTCAGCTGAGGCAGGCACAGCCAGCTACAGAGACTGGGGGGAGAGGCAGGAATACGTGGCAGGAGCTGCTGTGCTCCTACAGCCTCCTATTTCCACTCTCTCCAGAAGAGCTGGAGTTGCAGGCCCCCTCTCTAACACCCTCGATTTCCCTTCTAGCATCACCTTTTTGCAAAAGCATGCCCAGAAGCCACCCCTATATTTGGTAGATGTCAGATATACTGTATTTTGTGAATTATTTCTTGATGATGAAGAATAAGGTTGACATCAGGTATATTAGCTGTTGCTAATGCTTGCTAAATTAATTTCACCCACATTATTCACACAGAGCAGTCTAATCACAAATTAAATCCATCCTTTAATTTTATATCAGCATAATAATATTTTTCCAGTAATTAACATTTCTGTATGCTGAGTTTGCCAGTTTCAGCGATCATAATAGTCCCCAGGAGAAAAAACAAAGGTAATTGGTAGTACGTTAACTGCCTGAATTGCTTCTTTCTTGAGTATAATGAGTGAGATTTACTAATCACTCAATTCTATAAATAATTTCTTTCCCTTTTTCTTGTGTCTTGCTAATGACAGAGGCCTCTGTCACAGGATGCTTCAGGGTGGGTCTGGGTTCAGCTGATACCAGAAGAAGGCAAAAATTTCCTCCTGGGCCTCGTATTCAGTTTACTCAACCAGAAGATAAGAGGTTTTCTTTTTTTTCTGTTGTTGTGTTGTTATTGTAGATTAATCCAACTGTCACATATATATAGAGTCACATAATGATTTTAAGTGTAAAATCCTTTTATTCTACATTAAAAAAATTATCACTGTCCAGAATTCAATTATTCAAGCTAAAGATTTTCATATTAGTGCTTTGCCCCAGGCTTACTTTTTTAAAGCTTTAGCTAAAAGAGTCTTTTTAGAGAAGATTAGTGCAAAGTAGACAACTCTAGCAAATTTATGACTGTCCTACCAATTTTTTGAAGGAACTTTGGAGCACTAACAAGTGAATTCTGAAACATCTCCTTATTTCCTGTCAAAAAAAATCCATCTTTTAGAGCAGAATCACAGGATTTTCAGACTCTTAGCATATACTTCGTATAAATATTACAAGCTTTCTGCTCTGATCATAACCCTATCCCTCAATACTCCTTAAGTGCCAACATGTTCTTCAATCTACAAGGAAAGTTTTCTGTGAGATCTGCGGTTCAGGCAACAGTGGTAACACCGCAATATCCTTCAGTCAAAAGCAGAAGTGCTGGGCTGTGCTGCTCTGGCTGCCAGAACAGACTATAAGATTTTGTCTGAGCTCTACTGATGTGCGTTAGTATTTAAGACTTTTTAACCCTTAATACTGAATAAACCCTCTTTTTGTACCTTAAAAATCACATCAGTGATTGAAGCGTCCTTCTTTCATCCAAAGAGAATCTCATCAAGACAACAAAGGTTAGATGTGATCCTTTAGTCTCAAAATTTATGTCAACATCCTCATTAACTGAAGTGAAAACTGATGATCACAGCAGGGTTTGAGTACAGCTGTTTTTTTAATTTGCCCTTTTCAAGGAAGTTGTCTGCAGAAGTTTTACTGGTTACCATATAGGTACTCTATAGTTAATTTCTGTATCCCATTCCGCTGTCCTCATTTGCCATAAAAAATGTATACGGCTGTAATTAAGGCTTGTAAAATGTAAAAGGATGGTAAACTTTAACAGTCGCATCTCTTATCAGTGTTTTGAACCCTAGCTTGTGACTTGACTTAACACTCAAATTCCTCTCAATCAAAATGATCAGTTGCATTATCCATATTTAAAAGATCTAATTTTGCTTCCATAAGTATTTATCATAGTTCCCATCCCATTGAATTATTAAAGTTTTCAGTGCACTGAGCATGAATATGTATTTTTCAGTGGCAAAATATGGGGTTATTGCATTAAAACTGAATACATCTGGAAACATGCTACAAGAAGAGAAAAAGGGTAAGGTATTGCTACTTTTTAGAGATATCCTACATACATGCAGGCGTATCCTGTTTTACACAATCCTTGCTGCTCATATCAATTTCTATAAACTGTGAATTACAACCCCCAAAATGCCTATGGAAGGAATTTTTCCATCAGCCATGCAACCAGTGGCTTACTTCAGTTCCCTCCTCATGTCCACATGCTCAAGGGTGACCTCCTGATCACAGCCGTGAGCGTGGTGACAGCTGTATGCTGCCATTCCTGACCTATCAGGCAGAGCCAGTCAGTCAGGAATCCACTGGGTCTGACTTAGCATGCTCTTTGCATACTTCAGTAACATTTTAAGCTCCAATTAGGTGCAATTTATGTCCAGTATCACCCTATTAATTCACACTAATACCTGAGATGACCTTTCTGACCAACTGAGTGTTTCAAATTAACAAGAACAAGCAAGAAATGTACAATGGTTCTGAACAACAATATGAAAATGTCCTTGGCAAATGTCATTTAAGCTTGAAGAATTAAATTTGTGTTGGTCGGAAGTCTGGAAGAGTTCCCATGTTTTCCAAACATACAAACTTTCTCCATAATGTGAACTTCAGAGTATTCCCTACTCTGGAACCATTCTTAAGAACAGTGGAAGCTGATGACTTTGCCTTAACAGATTCACATTGCGTTGTGAAGAGACCTATTTGTAGCAGCATTTCAGCAATACTGTGTGCAGTGTGAGGATAAGTAGTTCATATTTATATTTATGTTTTAATATTTACGTAAGATTTCATTTTTATATTTATTTAAAATGTTTACATTTATGTTTACATTGTAAAAAAGGTTTAAAATTTCATATTTATGTTTACAATTTATTTATATTTAACAATTGCATCCACCTTTGCTGTCCAAAAGCAAAAATATCTAGAAGTATTTGACTATTTCAATTGCAAGCCAATGGTAGGCAATTAAAATGGCACCACAGTAGAATGTCTTCTGATGATAAGTAAATTGATGACCGAGTCTAAGTACATCTTCATATATTCAAAGAGTAAAATCAGTTCTGCTTAACTGCAGATCACATTTAACAGCTGGTTTTAATGTCTTTCCAGAAAATAACAGGTGGGAGAAACAGAAAAAGTTTCCCCCTAACTGTGTAAACTGCCTATTATTGTTATCTGGGGCTTTTTAATTAGCTTGTGAGTATAAAATTAGCATGAAATCTAATATTTTAAAACACCTGTAATGACTCTGAGCTGAGCACATACCTGACTAACCACATGCACAACTTGATAAACACTTTCATTGGTTTCCTCAGTGAAGTTTAGGTGAAATCTGGTCTGTGCATGGTTCAAACCACGACACTGACTGGTTCCATTATTTCAATGAAAATGGCCCAGGTCATTCTGTACTTCACCTTTTAGATATTACTTTAAAAAAAAAATAAAATCAAAGAGCACAGTAATAAAAAACCATGGTGAGGAACACAAAAGCCCAAGGAAAGTAGGCGATTTATGACTGTAAAATCTCGGTCAGACAGCAACAAAGGGTAGCAAAGATTAAGGATTAAAACTTCCCTAAAACCTTTGTGTGATGTGAAAATAATCATTATAACAATTGCATGTTTATACAGCAAAAGTTTTATTCTTGCACATTAGTACAATAAAGATTTCATTTCTTTATCTCTGGCTTTGAAGAGATGGGGGAGATGAGTGAACTGTCATTTTGAGTTAATGTTTTGTCATCAATATTTATAGCCCACAGAAAACAATTGTATGACTCTTTAGGATTTAGCTAATTAGTTATAAATTGCATTCTAAATGTATTAACATAATTCTTTTACAGCTTTGTCTTTCAATAAATTAATATTGAAATGCTTGAGTTATAATCAATGCAACAGGAGAAACATTTCTAAATACAGTGAGTGAATATGGGAGGTTTCCTTCCACTTGTTCCACTTACTGGGTCTATCCTCAAGGTTATTTCTTTGTAAGCCTTGATATATGATGCTTCTTCTGTTTCAAGTTTCAAAATTAGAACTATAAAGTACAAACTCTTACTAATAGAAACCATCACCTAACATGCCTACATCGCTTAGAAGGATACGCATGCAGTGAAGGCATTGATAGGTTTGATGGGAGTTTCAAAATCCCAGGGTGCTTAGTCTCATTTTTTTAACTGAATAATACTTATAATAAAACAAAAGACAATCATTTTTAGGTTGCAAGTCCCAGATCTTGTTTATTTATAAAGCAATAAATATTAGAAGCACAAATAAATTGCACGGGTGTGTAAACAAACTGTACAATGACTGAAGAGTTCAGGAAGGGTTGCCAGAAGACTCCAAGAAGCATATTGTCGTCATCCTGAGTGGGAAGTAAGTTGAGGGGAAAAGTGCTTAGAAGCACTTGCGGTGGACAATGGATGGACCAGCTTCATCATACTCCTGTTTACTGATCCACATTTGCTGGAAGGTGGACAGAGATGCTAGAATGGAGCCACCGATCCAGACAGAGTACTTGCGCTCAGGTGGGGCAATGATCTAGGATAAAGAAAAACAACAAAATCCTAATTTAACAGTTACATTTCTGAACAACCAACCCACACCACCAGTGTAACAAACCAGTAGATATTTCCTTAAGTAAATAAAGAATTTTTCTATAATAACAGTATTGATCTTCAGCAGCTGGTATAACACATGTAACATTCCTTAAGAAAATCTTTAACCATATTTTCCTCTTTTCTAACACTTGCTTCTAATCCATATAATTATGCTGATTAAATGGAATTTCTTCTAATTTGTCCATCAGCTTTTGAGCTGTTCCTCTATCCTATTTTAACAATGTGGGCATTTTCCCCATCCTTACCCATAGTTTATAGTACAGAGTCAAATTCCTCACCTTGATCTTCATAGTGCTAGGAGCAAGTGCAGTGATTTCTTTCTGCATGCGATCAGCAATGCCAGGGTACATTGTCGTTCCACCTGAGAGGACGTTGTTAGCATACAGGTCTTTACGAATATCGATATCACACTTCATGATACTGTTGTAAGTAGTTTCGTGAATACCAGCGGATTCCATACCTTGAGAAGAAATAAGACTGTAGATCAGTAAATTATGCAAGAGCTTTTCATTAAAAGAACTCAGCATTTCTCCTCATCATTAATATAAACTTCTATGATATTTTTGTTGTAAAACTGCTTACTGATTATTAAATGTTATAGAAAAACATAAAAAAATATAATCACAGAACAAGCCAAGAAAAATAAAACTATCTGTTAGAAATGGTAAGAATCATAATAAATGTGCAAAAGAAAGGTAATCAAAATATACAGTAAAAGAAGTGGACACACAAGATAAAATCATTTAGTATACAGCAAAGGGAGAAAGTTACATAGAGCAGAAAACAAGGATCAGGCTATGTCAGAGTCTCAAAAAAGCAGTAGTTGAATATAGACAAGAATAAAGACAACGAAAGCAAGCAGTTGAATTATAACTACAGAAGACAGTAGTAGCTTAATCTCTTTTTCACCCTACTCAAAATAGAGTCTATACTGTTTATAAACATCAAGGCAAGACAGAACTAAGACATGGGCCACAGTATTAGTACTTGATGGTCAGGAAAAAGAAACCAGAAGCAAGTGTTTGTAGGTTGCATTCCAATTTATTAATTTTAACAGGTGCTTCCTGAAAGGGCTGACACTAGATCCACAGTAAGATGTCAGCTGGTGAACAACTGCATCTATTACTCATGACTTAGAGTATAAGCATTTGGTATATCTGTCAGCTGCACTCACAAACAGCAAAGCTTACCATCTTGACCACGGCAATGTTGAAACACAGTGCTTATAAATTTACAGACACCTTCGTTCCATTTTTTCCCCTCCCAGACACTTTACTTCTTCATGGAGTCAGATACTGTTTGAAGCGTAAGCCTTACAAATACAGCACTGAAAGGTATTCTTGCCATCAGCAACATAGAATCACAGAATATCTTGATTTGGAAGGGACCCATAAAGATCATCGGGTCCAACTCCCTAATGATGATATTCTAACAGTACATTTTATCATAAAAAAATTGTGGCCCTAAAACCTGGTCTAAAATTCGCAACAAGAGCCCCGAGCTCAGCTAATTACCAGTTGAGCTCACATCAAGCACAGTTTACAGGGACCAGAGAATCTAACTCATTATTTATTTATGTTTGTTTTCATGCCAAATTTAGACAAGCAGGAACAGGAGTGGGACACTTTCTAGATCTTCTGATTCATTCACGCCTCCTACTGAAAGGAGAATTTCCTGGGAACACTTACCAATAAAGGATGGCTGGAATAATGTTTCAGGGCAGCGGAAACGTTCGTTGCCGATTGTGATCACTTGACCATCAGGCAATTCATAGCTCTTTTCCAGAGAGGAGGAAGACGCAGCCGTGGCCATTTCATTCTCAAAGTCCAGTGCAACATAGCACAATTTCTCTTTGATATCACGAACAATCTCACGTTCAGCTGCGGATATACAGGAACCAAATCAAGGTTTGGAGAAGCAGAATACTAGAGGAAGAAGATGGGCCAAGAGAGACATGAGGATTTTCACAGGAGGGAAATGCCAAAGGACTGACCTGTTGTCACAAAGGAATAGCCACGCTCCGTGAGGATCTTCATGAGGTAGTCAGTCAGATCCCTGCCAGCCAGATCCAGACGCATGATAGCATGAGGCAAAGCATAACCTTCATAAATGGGTACGTTGTGGGTGACACCATCACCAGAGTCAAGAACAATACCTGAGAGAGAAATGACAGAGAGCAGGTGGAATCACCTAGCAAATGCTTAGAGCCCTTAGGCACAGTAAGCAGCAACAAACACAACAAAATACAGGATTTTTCAGGCAGTATGAAGTAGCATCATTCTATTTTAACCATAAAGATCTTGCCCATTCCTTCTGCCTTTGCTTGCCTGGATATTCCAGTTTGGTGTGAACTTTCCTGTAAAACAGTTGTCCTGTACTTATTTTAAGCTAATCCATATGAACAGCCTTCCACTGCTACTACACTGAGCAGTAAGTGTATTTGCAATAGTGATTCTTCCAATTCAATAATGGCCATCTTTTGGGCACAGTTTAAACCCTTAAACTGGTGTAACACTTGTGTCATGGCAGTGTCTTCACAGGAAAGTCTCCTCGTTTGCATCATGACAAGCTGCAGGAGAGTCAGTTCCTCAGTGCCTCTCTGAAAGCCATGCAGACAGGTCCGCATTGCTCTTTCCACAGACTATGTTGTGTTGGCTTTTCTGCTACTGTTATCGTCTATTGCTATAAACTAAAAATACCTAGTTTTCTGCAAATCTCAATGAGTCATGGTGGTCTGTTTCCTATTTGGAGTGAGAAGGAAGGACAGTTCCTGAATGGAAAATTATAGATAGTGTTTATTTTTATTATTTTACCTGTTGTACGACCAGAGGCATACAGGGACAGGACAGCCTGGATCGCTACATACATAGCAGGTACATTGAAGGTCTCAAACATTATCTGGGTCATCTTTTCACGATTAGCTTTAGGATTCAAGGGGGCTTCTGTGAGCAAGGTAGGGTGTTCCTCAGGGGCCACACGGAGTTCATTGTAGAAAGTGTGGTGCCAGATCTTTTCCATATCATCCCAGTTGGTGATGATGCCATGTTCAATCGGATATTTCAAAGTGAGGATACCTCTTTTGCTCTGAGCTTCATCACCCACATAGGAATCTTTTTGTCCCATACCAACCATAACGCCCTAAGAGAAAAAAAAAAAAAAAAAGAAAAGCATTGCTTGAGCCCAAACAACTACACCACAGACGACTAAGCTATTTTCAAGAAAGGCGATGCCACTAAAAGGTTGTTTAGGAAAAGAAATGAGCATTATTATTAAAACATTAAGTCAACAGAATTTGAAGTTTTCTCATAATATCCTTTTTTCTTTAATCAGATGAAAGGCTTTCCCCCCCTTTTTTACTACACTTTTTATTTTCAACTACTTCTTTCTGGCCCAAAAGTTTGACTGAAAGTAAACTGCACAATATCATGAGAAGAGAAGGATACAGAGAGACATACAAAGAGAGTTTATAAACAAGAAGATATGGAGGGAAATAAGCCTTCTACTGAAGGAAGATACCGCCAAAGTGACTATTGCTATGGAGCCTCAGCAGTAAACGTAATAACAATATGCACGTTGTTTTACTTTAAAAAAAAAAAAAAATTAGAAACTTTTTACCAAGGAAATTGTAGGAGAAAAAGTACTGTATTTTCTGTGTGCTGATTTAACTGTAACAAAAGAGAAGAAGAATGACATGGGAACAGAGAAAAGGAGGCTTAGAGACCAGTAAGAAGGTAAGACCAGAGACAGACAAAAGAGTACAGGAAATTGAAAGATGTTTAGTATGTGAAACATTGGGCAGGATGGGTGGGAAGGGCCTTAAACAAACTGCATCGTGTGCACATTTAGCCCATGGAGATGCCTTTGAACTGGCACCAGCAGCAGATCTGGCCTAGGGGATGCAGTGGGCAGCAGCTCTGTAGGAAGATGGGTTTGGGCTCATTAGGAGAGAAAGCAGGGAGAGAGTCAAGAGGAAAGTTGGTGAGTTAGAAATAGATAGGGGAAAGGGAGAAAGTGACAGAATGGAGGTAAGGGACAGCCAAAAGGGGAGTTGAAGGAAGCACCAGAGAGACCTGGAAGGGCGTTGCTATTGCTATTGCTACCGCAATAAGGGAGCACCGGGAAAGGCAGAGTATACGGGACAGGACAGAGGAACTAAGGAGGGAAGGGGAGAGTGGAGGCGACTTCTGGCGAGAGGGGAAAGGCTCGGTCCTGCCCTGGCCCTGCCCCCCGGGTTTACCTGGTGCCTTGGGCGGCCAACGATGGACGGGAAAACGGCCCTGGGGGCATCGTCCCCGGCAAAGCCCGCCTTGACCAGCC